GTCATCTGTGTTTTTTCCAAGGACATAGGAGTGTAACAAGAGACTTAGAACTAGGTATCCCACAGGGAGGTATTCTGAGTCCTACATTATTTAATATCTTAATAAACACGCTGTTAAACGCTGTACCGAGCAAACCCAATGTGCACATAATTTACTATGCTGAAGATGTAATGATACACACCACTGGGTATGCTGGTGATATAATGATACACACCACTGGGTATGCTGATGATATAATGATACACACCACTGGGTATGCTGGTGATATAATGATACACACCACTGGGTATGCTGATGATATAATGATACACACCACTGGGTATGCTGGTGATATAATGATACACACCACTGGGTATGCTGATGATGATATAATGATACACACCACTGGGTATGCTGGTGATATAATGATACACACCACTGGGTATGCTGGTGATATAATGATACACACCACTGGGTATGCTGGTGATATAATGATACACACCACTGGGTATGCTGGTGATATAATGATACACACCACCACTGGGTATGCTGGTGATATAATGATACACACCACTGGGTATGCTGGTGATATAATGATACACACCACTGGGTATGCTGGTGATATAATGATACACACCACTGGGTATGCTGGTGATATAATGATACACACCACTGGGTATGCTGGTGATATAATGATACACACCACTGGGTATGCTGGTGATATAATGATACACACCACTGGGTATGCTGGTGATATAATGATACACACCACTGGGTATGCTGGTGATATAATGATACACACCACTGGGTATGCTGGTGATATAATGATACACACCACTGGGTATGCTGATGATATAATGATACACACCACTGGGTATGCTGGTGATATAATGATACACACCACTGGGTATGCTGGTGATATAATGATACACACCACTGGGTATGCTGGTGATATAATGATACACACCACTGGGTATGCTGGTGATATAATGATACACACCACTGGGTATGCTGGTGATATAATGATACACACCACTGGGTATGCTGGTGATATAATGATACACACCACTGGGTATGCTGGTGATATAATGATACACACCACTGGGTATGCTGGTGATATAATGATACACACCACTGGGTATGCTGGTGATATAATGATACACACCACTGGGTATGCTGGTGATATAATGATACACACCACTGGGTATGCTGGTGATATAATGATACACACCACTGGGTATGCTGGTGATATAATGATACACACCACTGGGTATGCTGGTGATATAATGATACACACCACTGGGTATGCTGGTGATATAATGATACACACCACTGGGTATGCTGGTGATATAATGATACACACCACTGGGTATGCTGGTGATATAATGATACACACCACTGGGTATGCTGGTGATATAATGATACACACCACTGGGTATGCTGGTGATATAATGATACACACCACTGGGTATGCTGGTGATATAATGATACACACCACTGGGTATGCTGGTGATATAATGATACACACCACTGGGTATGCTGGTGATATAATGATACACACCACTGGGTATGCTGGTGATATAATGATACACACCACTGGGTATGCTGATGATATAATGATACACACCACTGGGTATGCTGGTGATATAATGATACACACCACTGGGTATGCTGGTGATATAATGATACACACCACTGGGTATGCTGGTGATATAATGATACACACCACTGGGTATGCTGGTGATATAATGATACACACCACTGGGTATGCTGGTGATATAATGATACACACCACTGGGTATGCTGATGATATAATGATACACACCACTGGGTATGCTGATGATATAATGATACACACCACTGGGTATGCTGATGATATAATGATACACACCACTGGGTATGCTGATGATATAATGATACACACCACTGGGTATGCTGATGATATAATGATACACACCACTGGGTATGCTGGTGATATAATGATACACACCACTGGGTATGCTGGTGATATAATGATACACACCACTGGGTATGCTGGTGATATAATGATACACACCACTGGGTATGCTGATGATATAATGATACACACCACTGGGTATGCTGATGATATAATGATACACACCACTGGGTATGCTGGTGATATAATGATACACACCACTGGGTATGCTGGTGATATAATGATAACACCACTGGGTATGCTGATATAATGATACACACCACTGGGTATGCTGATGATATAATGATACACACCACTGGGTATGCTGATGATATAATGATACACACCACTGGGTATGCTGATGATATAATGATACACACCACTGGGTATGCTGGTGATATAATGATACACACCACTGGGTATGCTGATGATATAATGATACACACCACTGGGTATGCTGATGATATAATGATACACACCACTGGGTATGCTGATGATATAATGATACACACCACTGGGTATGCTGATGATATAATGATACACACCACTGGGTATGCTGATGATATAATGATACACACCACTGGGTATGCTGATGATATAATGATACACACCACTGGGTATGCTGATGATATAATGATACACACCACTGGGTATGCTGATGATATAATGATACACACCACTGGGTATGCTGATGATATAATGATACACACCGCTGGGTATGCTAACACGCAGAACACTCTTAACTCTGTATTAGACTCATGTCAGGACTTAGGTTTAGTTATCGCAGCAAAGAAAACAAAGATACACAATCGGCGCCCACCCAGGCAGGGAGGAGCTGTTCGCAAGATGCAACTGTCTGATGGCTCCCAGCTTGACTATGTAAACAGATTCAAATACCTTGGCCTTGAGGTGCCACTGTATGGTCCTGTTGTATTCAGACTCTGTCGTCAGTATTTAGAGAGGCTCAGAGCTCTCAAGGCTGTTGCAGGTTATCACTCAGGCTATGGTGCCAATGTCAGAATTGTCAAAATGATGTACCTTGCATACATAAGATTTTTAGTGGATTATGCTGCACCTCTGCTTGTTTTGATGCCTGGAAGAAAGCTTGGAGGGCTTGACAAATTGCTGAACGAAGCCTTGAGGATAATCCTTGGGTGCCCTCGTACCACAAAGATACTTAATATGAGAAAGGAACTTAATATTTCGAGCGTCGTTGATCGTGTTACTGAAATTAACTGTTAAATTGGTATAAAAATGCTTAGGTTAGCTAATCCTAACCCTTGCACAGAAGACCGCCAGAATTTCTTTATTGAAGGTCAACATTGTTCCAAATGGATAACTAAAACTAGAACTGAACTCAGAATGTATCTGGTTTATAATTTGTACCAAGAGAGACAACAACGGCACTTTCCTGCACCGTGGGAGGTTACACCCTTTCCAATTTTAATCCCTCCCTTTCCACCCAAGAAGCAAATTAGAGATCAGCCCAAGCTTCGTCTTGAGGCAAAGCTCAACGCCTTAAGCGATATTGATGCTCTGTCCACAGAGCATTCTCTTTCTCAAATCATATACACTGATGGTTCCCTACACCGCACCACGGGTGCAGCTGGAAGTGCAGTTGTCCTGACAATGGGCGATGGCTTATACTTTGAGTGGGGAGTCCGTATATACAATTGGGCCTCTACCCTTCAGACCGAACTATTTGCCTTGATCCTTGCACTGAAATGTGTACAAGTCTCCAAACTTGATACATTAATTGTAAGTGACTCTTTATCATCCTTAATTGCTCTCAACTCTTTAAGACATAACTGTAACATGCTCGTGTCCGAAGCTAGACACAAATACAACAAAATTATTAATGATGGTGACAGTCCATTTCATGTGGTCTCCATCTCATGTTGGCCTCCGAATGCATGGTAGAGCTGATGAGTTAGCCAAAGAATTCTCCTTTAAAGGAAAAATTCAGTATAACTTTGGATTGTCAATAAGCAGTTTGAGAGCAATAGTACACCAAGAACTTCAACAAAATCATGTAGATCTGAGGCACAGTGAAATAGACACAAGTAAATCCATCTGTCATCATACTATCATACAAGAGGAGTCACACATCTATGGATCAGCCAATAAAATCAGCAGACTTCTAGATGTTACTACTGCTCGGCTTAGACTCGGTTACAAGTATCTCTGGGAATTCTCATTATCTGCTGATGTAGACCTGACCAAATGTAAACTGTGTCAACAAAATTATTCGCACACCCTCCATCACTATGTGATGGAGTGCGAAAAGATACGTGAATTCAGAGACAATTCTATAGCAAATGTTCCAGAGATGTGAAAATATTTCATTCAAAATGATCTGCTACCAGAAATTTTAGCCAAATATCCCCAGTTTGCTAACTGTAGGTAGTAACTAAGTGACTGTAACCTATCCACCGCTGCCCACTGGATGGGGGGCGGTGTGCAGGACATACATATCAATTGTGACACTAGCTCTCCACATATGTCAGTTGCTTAATTTAGAAACTGTACTTGTGGTCGATCTCGAACCCACTGATGATGTGACGATGTGTTTTGAATTTTGTAACTAGCTCATCAAGATTGTTACTTTCTTAGCTGGATGAATGGTGAGGTTCAGTCCCTGAGTCCATTATTTGCCTGTGTAACCCTTTCCACTACCGCCCACAGGATGGGTATGGGGTGCATAATAAATGAACTAAACTACAAACAGCTGTACGTGCGAATGACCTCCATGAATGATGTGACAGTCACGTGATTGTTTACAAATGATTCACGAACAAACCCACAAGGGCCGTGACGAGGATTCGAACCTGCGTCCGGGAGCATCCCAGACACTGCCTTAATCGACTGAGCTACGACAGTCGACAGGTAATGCACAATTGTCGAAGAGTCCCAACACACGCTAACTACAAAATGACTCAGAACGACCGGGATAAGCTTCAGGTATGGTCGGAGAAATGGTTACTAGACCTCAACCCCCAACAAATGCAAGGTAAGGAGAATTGACAAGGAAGCAAGAAGACCCACTGACCAATGTGAATTGAAAGAATGAGAGAAAAGGTTCACATCAACAGATAAAAGCAGCAACATATTGTGGGGGTTCAACATCAACATATTGTGGGGGTTCAACATCAACATATTGTGGGGGTTCAACATCAACATATTGTGGGGGTTCAACATCAACATATTGTGGGGGTTCAACATCAACATACTGTGGGGGTTCAACATCAACATACTGTGGGGGTTCAACATCAACATACTGTGGGGGTTCAACATCAACATACTGTGGGGGTTCAACATCAACATACTGTGGGGGTTCAACATCAACATACTGTGGGGGTTCAACATCAACATACTGTGGGGGTTCAACATCAACATACTGTGGGGGTTCAACATCAACATATTGTGGGGGTTCAACATCAGCATACTGTGGGGGTTCAACATCAGCATACTGTGGGGGTTCAACATCAACATACTGTGGGGGTTCAACATCAACATACTGTGGGGGTTCAACATCAACATATTGTGGGGGTTCAACATCAGCATACTGTGGGGGCATACTGTGGGGGTTCAACATCAGCATACTGTGGGGGTTCAACATCAACATACTGTGGGGGTTCAACATCAACATACTGTGGGGGTTCAACATCAACATATTGTGGGGGTTCAACATCAACATATTGTGGGGGTTCAACATCAACATATTGTGGGGGTTCAACATCAACATATTGTGGGGGTTCAACATCAACATATTGTGGGGGTTCAACATCAACATATTGTGGGGGTTCAACATCAACATATTGTGGGGGTTCAACATCAACATATTGTGGGGGTTCAACATCAACATATTGTGGGGGTTCAACATCAACATATTGTGGGGGTTCAACATCAACATATTGTGGGGGTTCAACATCAACATTGTGGGGGTTCAACATCAACATATTGTGGGGGTTCAACATCAACATATTGTGGGGGTTGAACATCAACATACTGTGGGGGTTCAACATCAACATATTGTGGGGGTTCAACATCAACATATTGTGGGGGTTCAACATACGCCATACTGGCAAACAAAAGAATAGATTCAGGTATCCTCGGAGGAGCAGTGTCCACGAGACTGATAGTGCTTAATTCTGCTTCACGCTGCTGGTGTCGACGGTTCGAGTCCCCTAGTGCCCAAGGGAATAAAATGTTTATTTTGAATTGTGGTTGATAATTTATTTCACAGATGGTGTGAAACCATTTTTGGTATTGTTTGTTTGTTTAGATGTTTGACAGTTTAGGTCACAACTGACAATTCTGCAGTGAATTCTGACGCTAGAATTTAGTGAAGTCTAGAGTCAGGTTGGCTCTAGAAGGATTAGATTATACTCAGACTAGAGCAGGGGCTTGGGGGGGGGGGGTAGTGAACCCCACGCCCTCTGTAGGCTCGGAACAATTTGGACACGTGAGGACAGGTAAAGGTAAACTCTTAACAATCAATTACAGGTTAATGGAACTACACGATAGTCAAGGCGTAGTGAAACTTCACTACTTCACCAAATACATTATATTTACAATGTAACATCTACGTTACGTATCTAGGAGAAGATATCGAGGGGCCGCACTCTGGGAAGTCCAGGGTTGCAGGTTCGATCCCATTGTATAACCACAACCTATTTTCCCCAACACGATGTGCGTTGTTCTCTGGATGGGTTCCTCTGCGGTACAACTCATCAGACCGGTTGTTTGCATCACCAAACAATCATTTACGTAACCGCCGCCGCAGAGGCGCTACCCGCGGGTAACCACCCTCCCCCCCCCCCATCCATCTCTCTCTCTCGCGGCCGGATGACGGAAGGTGTTCGGTAATCGAGTACTCGGTTTTGGAGAGGCTCAACCGGCCAACGGGATCAAATAGTGATCAGTCATCGATGCTCGACAATTATCTCCCGCCTCCGGGACAAGGTGTTATAAATATGTTGGTTCAATATGGATTTGTAAGGCCAACTGGGAGCCGGGACTGGCCAGGTCGACACACTGGAGGCCATTCATACCTTGTTGTCCTATTATCTGAGGCTATCCATCAAGCCCCCCTCACCCCGCGGCTCAACCCACACGACCCTGATCGCGGCGGTTTTGGGCCTTAGGGCATATTTACGGACGGGTGAGAGGGGAGGGCGGGGCGGGGCGGGGCTTTGGGCGCCATATCGGGGCGGTAGCGCGGCCCAGCGGGGCGGAAGCACAGGTGATATCCGCTACACTGCGTTCTCAATGGCGGGAGGGAGAGACGCGCGCCAACCGCTTCACCCGCTATCGTTCCGCTTCGCGGCTGGGGTATCACCTCCGCGTGGCGGCGAGCGATGCTCCGCGACCGCGAGCGAAGTATTCGGCGGGGGCCTGGCCCGCCGCGTCTTCCCTCTCACTACACCTAAAAAGGGTATTAATGACGCTATTGGTAAATTAGTCCCCAGCAGAAGGGGCGGAGCGGGATAATTCCTCCATAACCAGGCTTTTCAGCCCGGCCACCCGACCCCACCCACCACCCGCCACAAGTCTATTCCCGCCGTGGCCCGCCTAAACCGGCCCACCCGCTGTGGCCCGCTTTGACCCGCTGTGGCCTGCTGTGGCCCGCTGTCGACTGCTGTCGACCGCTGTCGACCGCTGTGGCCCGCTGTGGACCGCTGTCGCCCGCTGTGGCCCGCTGTCGACTGCTGTCGACCGCTGTGGACCGCTGTGGCCCGCTGTGGACCGCTGTGGCCCGCTGTCGCCCGTTGTGGCCCGCTGTGGCCCGCTGTCGCCCGCTGTCGCCCGCTGTGGCCCGCTGTCGCCCGCTGTGGCCCGCTGTGGCCCGCTGTGGCCCGCTCACATGATACACTATTGCGGTGGTCGACCACCACCATAATGGACTGTCGCCATGGTAGATCGTAGACCTGGTAGATCGTAGACCTGGTAGCTCGTAGATCGTAGACCTGGTAGATCGTAGACCTGGTAGATCGTAGACCTGGTAAATCGTAGACCTGGTAGATCGTAGACCTGGTAAATCGTAGACCTGGTAGATCGTAGACCTGGTAAATCGTAGACCTGGTAGATTGTAGACCTGGTAGATCGTAGACCTGGTAAATCGTAGACCTAGTAGATCGTAGACCTAGTAAATCGTAGACCTGGTAGATCGTAGACCTGGTAAATCGTAGACCTGGTAGATCGTAGACCTAGTAAATCGTAGACCTGGTAAATCGTAGACCTGGTAGATCGTAGACCTGGTAGATCGTAGACCTGGTAGATCGTAGACCTGGTAAATCGTAGACCTGGTAGATCGTAGACCTGGTAAATCGTAGACCTAGTAGATCGTAGACCTGGTAAATCGTAGACCTGGTAGATCGTAGACCTAGTAGATCGTAGACATGGTAGATCGTAGACCTGGTAGATCGTAGACCTGGTAGATCGTAGACATTGTAGATCGTAGACGTGGTAGATCATAGACCTGGTAGATCGTAGACATGGTAAATCATAGACATGGTAGATCGTAGACATGGTAGATCGTAGACATGGTAGATCGTAGACCTGGTAGGTCGTAGACATGGTAGATCATAGACCTGGTACATCGTAGACATGGTAGATCGTAGACCTGGTACATCGTAGACCTGGTACATCGTAGACATGGTACATCGTATACCTGGTAGATCGTAGACATGGTAGATCGTAGACCTGGTAGATTGTAGACATAGTAGATCATAGACCTGGTACATCGTAGACATGGTAGATCGTAGACCTGGTACATCGTAGACATGGTAGATCGTAGACCTGGTAGATTGTAGACATGGTAGATCGTAGACCTGGTACATCGTAGACATGGTAGATCGTAGACCTGGTAGATTGTAGACATGTTAGGGATACACCTTCCATATACAATGTGTTCACATTTCTTGCATGGGGTCCAAGCTGGGGTACAGGGCGTGGGGTCCAAGCTGGGGTACAGGGCGTGGGGGTCCAAGCTGGGGTACAGGGCGTGGGGGTCCAAGCTGGGGTACAGGGCGTGGGGGTCCAAGCTGGGGTACAGGGCGTGGGGTCCAAGCTGGGGTACAGGGCGTGGGGGTCCAAGCTTGGGTACAGAGCATGGGGTCCAAGCTGTGGTACAGAGCATGGGGGTCCAAGCTGTGGTATAGGGCACGGGGGTCCAAGCTGTGGTACAGGGCGTAGGGGTCCAAGCTGGGATACAGAGCATGGGGTCCAAGCTGGGGTACAGGGCGTGGGGGTCCAAGCTGGGATACAGAGCATGAGAATCCAAGATGTGGTACAGAGCATAGGGTCCAAGCTGGGGTACAGGGCGTGTGGGGGGGGGGTATCAGTGCGGGGCAAAAGAGCGACTATAGAGGCGGCAGAGTGGGGGGTATCAGTTACCCCAACACTGGCTGGGACAGAGAGCGATGGGAGGTAAATTACCAGAGGTTAGCATCTTTATGTGGTGCTCGAGCGAGAGGACCGTGTTCCACGGGCCATATGGCGCCCCCTCCCCCCCCTCCCCACATATTCTATCCGGCCCCTCCCCGGAGTCCGGCCCCTCCTCGCTGCCCGGCCTCTCCCCGCGGTCCGGCCCCTCCCCCCTCCCCGCTGTCCGGCCCCTCCATGGAGAGGTATTGAAATTTAAATAAGTTTATTAAGGTATAAATACACACAAAATGATGAGGTAGCTCAAGCTATTCTCACCCTGTTCAGTACAACGTGTTCATATATATATATATATATATATATATATATATATATATATATATATATATATATATATATATATATATATATATATGATGGTCCCCATATATGCGAATGAATTATATATTCATATATATATATATATATATATATATATATATATATATATATATATATATATATATATATATATTTGCATCTAGTCTTGGTGTAAAATTCTTCATATCTCTCCAGATTATCACCAATTTTTCCGTTGTGACACATATAGGCTATTTGTTCAGGAACAGTCCTTATCTCAGTGTTTCTATGTACATTAATCCACAGGCCATCAAGAACATAATGGTTGAGGGTGTGAGACCTTAACATACCACATAGTTTACACTTCGTTACATGAACATTAACATTAGTTTCATATTCCTTACGTCCTCCACCCCATATATTCTAACGTCAGGCAAATGTAATGTCTTGACAACGCAGGTTACTCATTGCTAGTTTCGTCATGTTCTTAATTTCCTCTACACTAAGAAATCATCAATGCCACAACTCTGCAGCACCTCTAATTCAGATCTTATATGACACCCAGAACATGTGAAAGTTGGTCAGAATTGCATTTCACCTTTGTAAACGGACATTAATGACTCTATGTAAAAGATACCTCGAACACTGTTTATTCAGGACAGACGTAAATATGTATATTTATGTATGTTGGTTACATTAGCATTTTAAAAGCACTACAATCACCTTCTGTGGTTGATTGTTCAATAAATCACTGAACTACATGTTTAACAGATCTCTAACCCTGTCCATGGAGGACAGAAGAAAATGTATATATGTTGGTCAGCATTGTAAATGTGTGGCCACGTTTGTGGTAGAAAAAAAAAAAATTCCACACAGTCTAAACTGTTCCTCCACTTCAAGGACTGTCATATATGGAACGACATGTCGCCCACACTTCGAAATACATCACTTTCGTTATTTATACACAGATTCAATCTTCACTATACCAATCACAGTGTATAAACTACACTATAGACAGCAATACAATCACAGTGTATAAACTACACTATATACAGCAATACAATCACAGTGTATAAACGACACTCTATACAGCAATACAATCACAGTGTATAAACTACACTATATACAGCAATACAATCACAGTGTATAAACTACACTATATACAGCAATACAATCACAGTGTATAAACTACACTATATACAGCAATACAATCACAGTGTATAAACTACACTATATACAGCAATACAATCACAGTGTATAAACTACACTATATACAGCAATACAATCACAGTGTATAAACTACACTATATACAGCAATACAATCACAGTGTATAAACTACACTATATACAGCAATACAATCACAGTGTATAAACTACACTCTATACAGCAATACAATCACAGTGTATAAACTACACTATATACAGCAATACAATCACAGTGTATAAACTACACTATATACAGCAATACAATCACAGTGTATAAACTACACTATATACAGCAATACAATCACAGTGTATAAACTACACTATATACAGCAATACAATCACAGTGTATAAACGACACTCTATACAGCAATACAATCACAATATATAAACGATACTTTATACAACACTACAATCCCAATGTATAAATGACACATACAACAATACAATCATAATGTATAAATGACACTTTATACAACAATACAATCATTTATATAGAAAATCTAAGCCCCTAACCAGTTGTCTGCTGGAACCCATCCTGTTGTCTGCTGGAACCCATCCAGGTGTCTGCTGGAACCCATCCTGTTGTCTGCTGGAACCCATCCAGGTGTCTGCTGGAACCCATCCAGGTGTCTGCTGGAACCCATCCTGTTGTCTGCTGGAACCCATCCTGTTGTCTGCTGGAACCCATCCAGGTGTCTGCTGGAACCCATCCTGTTGTCTGCTGGAACCCATCCAGGTGTCTGCTGGAACCCATCCAGGTGTCTGCTGGAACCAATCCAGGTGTCTGCTGGAACCCATCCTGTTGTCTGCTGGAACCCATCCTGTTGTCTGCTGGAACCCATCCAGGTGTCTGCTGGAACCCATCCAGGTGTCTGCTGGAACCCATCCAGGTGTCTGCTGGAACCCATCCAGGTGTCTGCTGGAACCCATCCTGTTGTCTGCTGGAACCCATCCAGGTGTCTGCTGGAACCCATCCTGTTGTCTGCTGGAACCCATCCAGGTGTCTGCTGGAACCCATCCAGGTGTCTGCTGGAACCCATCCAGGTGTCTGCTGGAACCCATCTAGGTGTCTGCTGGAACCCATCCAGGTGTCTGCTGGAACCAATCCAGGTGTCTGCTGGAACCAATCCAGGTGTCTGCTGGAACCCATCCAGGTGTCTGCTGGAACCCATCCAGGTGTCTGCTGGAACCCATCCAGGTGTCTGCTGGAACCAATCCAGGTGTCTGCCGGAACCAATCCAGGTGTCTGCCGGAACCAATCCAGGTGTCTGCTGGAACCAATCCAAGTGTCTGCTGGAACCAATCCAGGTGTCTGCCGGAACCAATCCAGGTGTCTGCCGGAACCAATCCAGGTGTCTGCTGGAACCAATCCAGGTGTCTGCTGGAACCAATCCAGGTGTCTGCTGGAACCAATCCAGGTGTCTGCTGGAACCCATCCAGGTGTCTGCTGGAACCCATCCAGGTGTCTGCTAGAACTAATCCAGATTTTGATGATTGACGATGATTTTGACGATTGGTGATGTTAATAATGATTTATCGTGGTTGATGATGTTAATGATTGACTATAATTTATATTAACGATGATTCTTCATGATTGATGATAACGATTCGTCATAATTCATGATATTTATTCATCATGATTTAACAATGTATATATATATACACATTTATGTACAAGTGAAAACAATGTATACATACACATTTATGTATAAATAAAAACAATGTATATATACACATTTATGTATAAATAAAAACAATGTATATATACACATTTATGTACAAGTGTAAACAATGTATATATACACATTTATGTACAAGTGTAAACAATGTATATACACACACATTTATAAGTGTAAGCACTTATCAACAGTTTCCTTTCCCAGGTGCGTCTGAGGCGTCGGCCGCCAAGGCGGGATCAACGGGGTAATTACCAATAAATATCCCCGTGATCCAGGATGAACAAGGCTTAACTATTTCATTTATGCTACCTGTCCCTTTGTGTGTGGGGGGCGGCTCCCCCCCATACCCCCCCCCCCCCGGGGGTCCCATTGTGGCGCCCTCGGCCTCATCAATTGACCACCAGCCTAGAAAATTATTTGTCGTTGTCGGGTGACTGGGGGGGGGGGGGGGTGAGGGGGCGCGGATGGGGGGGGGAGGGGGCGCGGAAGGGGGGGTTGATGTGTGGAAGGGAAGCGCCATATATTAATGGCTAGGCTCGTCCAGGCGGCGGCCGACCCCAAAGACGCAATCGTTAATTTCCACCTATGGTGTGTGGAAATATAAATTTTGATCCGAGGGGGGAGTTTATTGGGCAGCGCCACTCATCCTGTGAGTGGACAGACCGTTATAGTGACAGTATTGGGCAGCGCCACTCATCCTGTGAGTGGACACACCGCCATAGTGACAGTATTGGGCAGCGCCAATCATCCTGTGAGTGGACACACCGCCATAGTGACAGTATTGGGCAGCGTCACTCATCCTGTGAGTGGACACACCGCTATAGTGACAGTATTGGACAGCGTCACTCATCCTGTGAATGGACACACCGCCATAGTGACAGTATTGGGCAGCGTCACTCATTCTGTGAGTGGACAGACCGTTATAGTGACAGTATTGGGCAGCGTCACTCATCCTGTGAGTGGACACACCGCTATAGTGACAGTATTGGACAGCGTCACTCATCCTGTGAATGGACACACCGCCATAGTGACAGTATTGGGCAGCGCTACTCATCCTGTGTGTGGACACACCGCCATAGTGACAGTATTGGGCAGCGCCACTCATGCTGTGAGTGGACACACCACCATAGTGACAGTATTGGGCAGCGCCACTCATCCTGTGAGTGGACACACCGCCATAGTGACAGTATTGGGCAGCGCCACTCATCCTGTGAGTGGACACACCGCCATAGTGACAGTATTGGGCAGCGCCACTCATCCTGTGAGTGGACACACCGCCATAGTGACAGTATTGGGCAGCGCCACTCATCCTGTGAGTGGACAGACTGTTATAGTGACAGTATTGGACAGCGTCACTCATCCTGTGAGTGGACACACCGCTATAGTGACAGTATTTGGCAGCGCCACTCATCCTGTGAGTGAACACACCACCATAGTGACAGTATTGGACAGCGTCACTCATCCTGTGAATGGACACACCGCTCTAGTGACAGTATTTGGCAGCGCCACTCATCCTGTGAGTGGACACACCGCCATAGTGACAGTATTGGGCAGCGCCACTCATCCTGTGAGTGGACACACCGCCATAGTGACAGTATTGGGCAGCGCCACTCATCCTGTGAGTGGACACACCGCCATAGTGACAGTATTGGGCAGCGCCACTCATCCTGTGAGTGGACACACCGCCATAGTGACAGTATTGGGCAGCGCCACTCATCCTGTGAGTGGACACACCGCCATAGTGACAGTATTGGGCAGCGCCACTCATCCTGTGAGTGGACACACCGCCATAGTGACAGTATTGGGCAGCGCCACTCATCCTGTGAGTGGACACACCGCCATAGTGACAGTATTGGGCAGCGCCACTCATCCTGTGAGTGGACACACCGCCATAGCAGCATGTACAACACTCCCCAATAGGAAGTAAACCCGCTGGGTTGTTCATCCTGTCACTTGTACCCAGACACAGCTGGGACTTGCTTAACTGTTTCAAGTGAACAGCTCCTCAAACAAGAAGATTAACATTCGTCAAGCCTTAAAATCTTACGTTATCTTGCGAGTGCAAAATGGGGGGAATCTTTTAAGAACAGTATCTGTATTTGACAAATGATATTTTCCTAACTCAAACAATGTGGGGTTTATTATTCTACACATACTTCTATTGACTCTCAGGTGTTCACATTCTCTCAGGTAGTGGTCAAGGCGGTGTCCGTCACTCTCACCACAGATTCTGCAACTCCGCTGTTCAACTGTTGTTTCCATCCCAAGTCTCCATGGATATTTGTATCCAAGACGGATTCTCGCTATTACTGATTCTCTCCCGCGACCTTCCAACATGGGAGGGGATCCACAGAAATTTCATGACTCTTCCCTGATTGGTTAGTACTCTCACAGCTCGCTTCATCTCAGCGACTATCGCAGGATTTTCTGCCCGATTTTTATTACGGCTTTGTAGTGCTGCTTTAGAATCAGTGCAGCTCACTGCACCGTTAGTGTTTCGTTCGAGGAATCTTAACGCCAGAGCCGGTCGGCCGAGCGGACAGCATACTGGTCTTGTGATCCTGTGGTCCCGGGTTCGATCCCGGGCGCCGGCGAGAAACAATGGGTAGAGTTTCTTTCACCCTATGCCCCTGTTACCTAGCAGTAAAATAGGTACCTGGGTGTTAGTCAGCTGTCACGGGCTGCTTCCTGGGGGTGGAAACCTGGTCGAGGACCAGGCCGCGGGGACACTAAAGCCCCGAAATCATCTCAAGATAACCTCAAGATAGCCATAACAATGGCGGTGAGTTACGCTTGTGTTGAAGAGGAATAATTTTCAATATGAGCTTTTCCTTCAGTTCCGCGTTGTAAGGCATAGATCCTAATTACAGTGTATGCTACACCAGCCCTGCTATTGACTGGGTTAGATGTCCCATCAGTGTAGATTTGATCTAACTCATCTCCGGCTTCTTTATTAATTTCTTCAAGATAATTGTGCCTCATTTCTTGTGGAATCAGGTTGGACTTTTTCGTTGCCATTTCGTTTAACAGTCTCCGTGGTGTAGTGGTAAGACACTCGCCTGGCGTTCCCCGAGCGCTTTGTCATGGGTTCGTATCCTGGCCGGGGAGGATTTACTGGGCGCAAATCCTTAACTGTAGCCTCTGTTTAACTCAACAGTAAAATGAGTACTTGGTTGTAACAACGATTCTTCGCGGCAGGGGATCGTATTCCAGGGACCTGCTCGAAACGCTACGCGTACTAGTGACTGTACAAGAATGTAACAACTCTTGTATATATCTCAAAAAAAAAAATCGGATGATCCTGCATGGATCATCCTCCCAAGGAGGTAACCTCCCTACAGGCATTGATGAGCTCACGGGCTTGCTCAAGCAGGTGAAGTTCTTTGAGGTCGCAGACTGATCTGTGATGCCATTTTTTTTGCTTCTCCTGTTTTCCCCTGAAAGTAGCACAAAACTCAGTTTTTTCTTGGCAATATCATTATAATGGTGATCTCTGGCTATCCTAATTGCAAGCTTAGCATTCAGTTCCTTAATTCTGCTTTTAACAATCGGAAGAGACAACTCCTCTCGTAGATTAGATGTTTAGACAGTTCTTGGGACTCCAAGAATGATGGTCATGGCTTCATTTTGTATGCAATCAAGTTTTTCATATCGCTTTGGGAGTAAGTGCACCAAACTGGTGCGGCATAGTCTATGGCGGAGCGCACATAGGCTGTGTACATCATTTTAAGCACGGCAATAGAGGCTCCAAGTCCATTCCAGGTCTTAACTTTCAGTGCCCTGAGTCGACTGTTGCATGTTCCTATGAGCTCCTCTTTCTTCCCCTTGTTAGAGCCGACAGTGACGCCAAGGTACCGATAGTGGTCAACCCATTCAAGTGTTACACCATTAATTTGTAGTTCTTCATTTTCTCCCCTCTTGTGATGAGAGTATACTTTTGTCTTGTTTGTGGAGAGAGTGAAACCGAGCTCAACACATTTCCTTCCAAGGAGTTCAATGGACTGTTTAATTTTTCCCAAGGTGGGAGCTTGTATTAGGACATCCCCTGCACACCCCACTTGTTGTGTTCCTTCTGGAAATTCAACATTTGCAATGGCGTTCATAAGTATGTTAAATAGTGTAGGGCTTAAGACCCCTCCTTGGGGGAGTCCCGAGTTCCATTTTCATTGTTCTGGAGACTGCACTGTTGAATCAGACCTTGGCTTTCCTCCCTGTGAGGTAGTCTTCAATCCTTTTCATGAGTCTCCCCTTGACACCCAAGCATGCAAGCTCGTCCAGGATCGGAATTCTCTGTGCTTTATCGAAGGCTTCTTTTATGTCAACAAATACAGAATACTTAGCTGTATCATTAGCCTAGTAATTAACTATACAATTTGCTGTGCTCCGTCCTTTAACAAATCCATTGACCCCCTCCCCTAACCTGCCTATTTTGTGCAACAGCCGGTTTAGGATGATCCTTTCAAGCATCTTGCAAGTGCATGACACGAGACTGATAGGTCTGTAATTACCAGGGTCATTGGATTTCGGTATCGGAACAATTTTTGCGTGTTTCCATTGTGTGGGCAACGTTCCACTTAGGAATGACTTGTTAAACAGGTGGAGTAGTGGATTCCCAGACACTTCACACAGTGCATTGAGTATGTCGTAGGTGACGCCATCTTCACCAGGTGCTGTACTTTTACCCTTTTGCATAGCCCCCCTTTACTTCCTGGGCTGTGATTGGTTGCTCATACTCGTCATCACTAGACTATGCTCTTGTTATCCTAATCATAATTAGGAGGCCTGGTCGACGACCGGGCCGAGGGGACGCTAAGCCCCGGAAGCACCTCAAGGTAACCATTCTTCCGTCATTATATCGCAGGAGCTGTTCCCTGCATACTTCTGCAGGGAGGAGGAGGAGGATGCTGCATCACTTCACTTGTGTATTAATATTTATATTTTCTCAAACATAAAGTAATATTATTACATACCAGAATGTGGAGACTACTTTGGCCTGAGTTAGGTTACGTGAGGCGGTTAGGTTCTGCTGGCAATTGTTGGTATTTGCAGTACGTGGGTAAAGCATTTAGAGAAGTGCGATTAGAACAGAGGACGTGCACCAACCACTGTTCCAGAAAACTTACATTAGTTGTGTGTAAAGTGTTTTTCATTTATAAGCAGGGAAGGGGAGGGGGTTGGTGGTTGGTTTAACTGGCATATGGCCTGTGTTGATGAGGACCTGCCTTACCAAACCCTGATTTGGGGTGAGTAAACTCCTCAAATAGACAGGCTCAGCCACTTGGGCTGGACGGTAGAGCGACGGTCTCCATGCAGGTCGGCGTTCAATCCCCGACCGTCCAAGTGGTTGGGCACCATTCCTTCTCCCCCCCCCCCGATCCCATCCCAAATCCTTATCCTGACCCCTTCCAAGTGCTATATAGTTTTGATAGCTTGGCGCTTTCCACTTGATAGTTCCCTCCCCCTTCCTCAAATAGACAGTCGTGTCTACTTCCTGTGAGATTTGAATGTCGACCACAGAGCCTTACGCCTCGGGAGAAGACCCGCGATAGGTAAAGTCAGACATAATACGATAAAGAACACGAAAATAACAGCTATCTGAGCCCCTCAACTTTGCAAACAACGTCAGGCAAAGCGATAGTGGCAATCAGAACATAATATTGACAAACACCACTGTCTACACCTGACTCTCGACAGATACAACACAGAGCATCAGAAACACTCCACAACACAGAGATTATCTGCCCACATACAAAACAAATTTTAAAAAACGTCACTGGATTGAGAAAAAGCCAGCTTGAATACTGCGCAGAGCATGGGCTCAATGGAAACACACTCGCCCCCCGGCACGTTGCCAGCGATTTGGTATGAGTTCGAGTCCTGGCCAGGGAGGATTGTCTGGGCGCTACTCCTTATTAACTATTCGCCCTCGTTCACCCAGCAGTAATTGGATACCCGGTTGTTAAGCGATTGCGAGGGCGTGTGTGTTCTAGAGAAAACTATAGGAAGAAAACCATGAGTTTTAGGAAGGGAAAGCTATCAGACCGCAAACATTTGTCATAAAAGTTGTGTACCTCAACCCTCCTATGTAAAAAGAGGGGGGGGGGAGGGGTTATCCCAGCAAACAACGAAGCAATAACGAAATTCCTGGGGGTTGATATCACCCCCTGAAGCCCACATCAAGAGGATAACATCAGCGGCATATGCCAGGTTGGCCAACATTAAGAACGAGTTTTAGAAACTTGTGTAAGGAATCATTTAGAACCTTGTACACCACGTATGTCAGACCAATCCTGGCGTATACAGCTCCAGCATGGAGTCCATATCTTGTCAAGCATAAAAACAAATTGGAGAAGGTTCAGAGGTGTGCCACCAGAGTAGTACCCGAAATGAGGGGCATGAATTATTTTCTAAGGTGACCCATGGCAAGGTCACCTTAGAAGGTCTTGACCTCACGTCAAGACCGTAGGACAAGAATTTGGGAAAATGTTGGGAAGGGAAGGAAGGGGTACATGGAAGGGAAGGAAGGGAAGGAAGGGGTACATGGAAGGGAAGGAAGGGGTACATGGAAGGGAAGGAAGGGGTACATGGAAGGGAAGCAGGAATATAACACAAGACATCTTGGCTTGATACACCACAAAGGCTCCCATGAGTCTGTGAGTGGGGGTGGGGCTCCCATGAGTCTGTGAGTGGGGGCGGGGGCTCCCATGAGTCTGTGAGTGGGGGCGGGGGCTCCCATGAGTCTGTGAGTGGGGGCGGGGGCTCCCATGAGTCTGAGAGTGGGGGCGGGGGCTCCCATGAGTCTGTGAGTGGGGGCGGGGGCTCCCATGAGTCTGTGAGTGGGGGCGGGGGCTCCCATGAGTCTGTGAGTGGGGGCGGGGGCTCCCATGAGTCTGTGAGTGGGGGCGGGGGCTCTCATGAGTCTGTGAGTGGGGGCGGGGGCTCCCATGAGTCTGTGAGTGGGGGCGGGGGCTCCCATGAGTCTGTGAGTGGGGGCGGGGGCTCCCATGAGTCTGTGAGTGGGGGCGGGGGCTCCCATGAGTCTGTGAGTGGGGGCGGGGGCTCCCATGAGTCTGTGAGTGGGGGCGGGGGCTCCCATGAGTCTGTGAGTGGGGGCGGGGTCTCCCATGAGTCTGTGAGTGGGGGCGGGGGCTCCCATGAGTCTGTGAGTGGGGGCGGGGGCTCCCATGAGTCTGTGAGTGGGGGCGGGGGCTCCCATGAGTCTGTGAGTGGGGGCGGGGGCTCCCATGAGTCTGTGAGTGGGGGCGGGGGCTCCCATGAGTCTGTGAGTGGGGGCGGGGGCTCCCATGAGTCTGTGAGTGGGGGCGGGGGCTCCCATGAGTCTGTGAGTGGGGGCGGGGGCTCCCATGAGCCTGTGAGTGGGGGCGGGGGCTCCCATGAGTCTGTGAGTGGGGGCGGGGGCTCCCATGAGTCTGTGAGTGGGGGCGGGGCTCCCATGAGTCTGTGAGTGGGGGCGGGGGCTCCCATGAGTCTGTGAGTGGGGGCGGGGGCTCCCATGAGTCTGTGAGTGGGGGCGGGGGCTCCCATGAGTCTGTGAGTGGGGGCGGGGCTCCCATGAGTCTGTGAGTGGGGGCGGGGGCTCCCATGAGTCTGTGAGTGGGGGCGGGGGCTCCCATGAGTCTGTGAGTGGGGGCGGGGGCTCCCATGAGTCTGTGAGTGGGGGCGTGGGCTCCCATGGGTCTGTGAGTGGGGGGCGTGGGCTCCCATGGGTCTGTGAGTGGGGGGCGTGGGCTCCCATAGGTCTGTGCGTGGGTCCCCCCATGGTCCTGTGTTCCTGGGAGCTCCCATATGCCTCCCATGGTCTCAGGGGGGGCGGACGCTCGTCAGAGGTAAAGTTGTTTATTAGTGGGGTCATTTAATGCTTATTAAGCCTCACTGTGGGAGGCCTGGCCCCCTCACCCCCTCCTCTACCCCCCCTCCTCTACCCCCCCCTCCTCTACCCCCCCCTCCCTACCCCCCCCCCCTCTCCCCCCCTCCTCACCCCCTCACCCTACCCCCTCCCCTCTCACCCCCTCCTCTACCCCCCTCACCCCCTCCCCTACCCCCCTTCTCACCCCCTCCTCTACCCCCCTCACCCCCCTCTACCCCCCCTACCCCCCCCCCCCTCACCCCCTCCTCTACCCCCCCTCCCCCCTCCTCTACCCCCCTCACCCCCTCCTCTACCCCCCTCACCCCCTCCTCTACCCCCCCTCACCACCTCCTACTACTCTCCTCCCATCTCGACACATCTAAGATAACATCAAGATTAGTGCCAATTCCATTAAGATCTAGACAGAACACCATGGCATGAATGCAATACCATCTTGAGGTTATCTTGAGATGATTTCGGGGCTTAGCGTCCCAGCGGCCCGGTCCTCGACCAGGCCTCCTTTCTGTTACACTCCCCACAGGAAGCAGCCAGTAGCAGCTGTCTAACTCCCAGGTACCTATTTACTGCTAGGTAACAGGGGCATCAGGGTGAAAGAAACATTTTGCCCATTTGTCTCCGCCTACACCGGGGATCGAACCCGGAATCTCAGGACTACGAATCCGAGGCGCTGTCCATCCAGCTATCAGACGCCACACAAAAGGTAACCACAGAATCAAGAAGAATTTAAGAAAAGGGAAGATAAATGGTTGGGGAATTAGATCCTTTAAGACAGAGATGACAGAGGGTCTGGTATGGAAGATTCAAGACCTTACTGAATCCCAGGCGACGAGCTCTCAACACACCCCTGCTATTGTTTCGTCTATTGTCGCCTCATATCGTCTATTGTTGGAGTTGTTTGTGGTATTGGAACTCCTTTGTGTCCATCCCCCACAAGCCCTATATCCTACCTTTCCCGTTCCCTCTGTTTCTCTCACAAACCCCTCTGTTTTCTCTCCTTCGGTAGCAACATCTCACTCGCTGATAATGACGGACAGAGATCTCAGTTCCTTCTTCACCTCAGCCCGTCTATGGGATGGGAAAACGGCTGTCAAAACTGGACATGTATATACATATATGTGCCTCTGAACGGACAGAGAGAGAGAGAGATTTTACGAGCCACGACAAGACCAAACGTCCGCTCCTTCATTCTTCATTCACTGCTAAAAACCCAGGGTAAAACCTCCTTCTCGGGTGAGTGTAACTCCGACGTCTCAGGAGCATCTTCAACCCTCTTACCCGCCAAAGGGAAGAAGGGATTAGGAGAGGGATTAAGGGGAAGGAGGGAAAGGGGGGGGAGGGGATATGATATGGACCTCGGCGCCTTTGAAATCCCTCTCCTTCGATGCCTCTCAGCTCATGATCCGGCCCGGGTTTAAGACATAAAGAAGGATATCAATTTGTCCGTTTATCTAGCCTTGTCGATTGTGTTCCAGCGTCTGAGGAATTGAGATGTTGTCAGGGGATCATTTTTAGCTTGTTTTAAATGTGTGTTATATATATATATATATATATATATATATATATATATATATATATATATATATATATATATATATATATACTGTATATATTTAATACACACACACACATATATATATATATATATATATATATATATATATATATATATATATATATAATATATATATATATGATTTAATAAAGAAATGAGTTGATAAAATGTTTCTAGTTAGAAAATATTAATTTAACAAACGCAGTCTGTTAAGTTAACGAATGTTTTCGCGGTGACAAGCGGTCGTTTGGGTAACAGGGGTCCCAATGGCCATCAAGCAGACCTCAGGCGCTGCTTGCCAAAGCTGAACCTAACCTATAAAGATAGGTTAGGTTAGGTTAGGTAGGGTTGTTAGGTTCTCCCCCCCCCCTCCCCCCGACCCAAAGACGGAGGAATTAAACTGTTCGTTCAAGCTCCTCTCCCCCCGACAGCGATATACATAAATGTAGACAATCTGTGCATTCAAAATTGAGTTCTGGCTACTAGGTACGACATATATATATATATATATATATAAAATTATATATATGATTTAATAAAGAAATGAGTTGATAAAATGTTTCTAGTTAGAAAATATTAATTTAACAAACGCAGTCTGTTAAGTTAACGAATGTTTTCGCGGTGACAAGCGGTCGTTTGGGTAACAGGGGTCCCAATGGCCATCAAGCAGACCTCAGGCGCTGCTTGCCAAAGCTGAACCCCCCCCCCCTCCCCCCGACCCAAAGACGGAGGAATTAAACTGTTCGTTCAAGCTCCTCTCCCCCCGACAGCGATATACATAAATGTAGACAATCTGTGCATTCAAAATCAACCTTTTCTCACTTATAAATTAACAGTATTGTTTGCAGGCGATGAGTCACAATAACGTGGCTGAAGTATGTTGACCAGACCACACACCAGAAGTTGAAGGGACGACGACGTTTCGATCCGTCCTGGACCATTCTCAAGTAGAAACGTCGTCGTCCCTTCAACTTCTAGTGTGTGGTCTGGTCAACAGTATTGTTTATTAGAATTTTGTATATATTGTAGTTTGGAGAAAATGACTTTTAAGTGTTGCGTTTAGGCTCCGTTGGCAGTTATTTGTATCTTTCACAACCCGTCCTCGACTCAAGTCCATTCCATCCAGTGGTCGACCCCACAGACACATTCATAAATTTTAACACGTTGTTAATTCAAAACAGGAATTTTCTCAAATATAAATTAATATTATAATATATTAGCATATTGTGCATATATAGGCATAGGATAGGTTAGGTGTTTAGGTTCTGTTGGTGATTATTTGTATTTGTAGTACGTGGGTGAAGCATTTACAGCGTTGTGATTCGAACAAAATTCGTCAGTGAAGCACTTGTTCCGGATATGTTCGAACTTCAGCAGTTGTGAGTCGTGTGTAAACTGCTTTTCATTCATAAACAGGGGGTTTGGCGGGTGCATGGAATCACTTTTGGATCTTTGTTTGGAGGACGGGCTGTGATTTGCTCACTTTATAGGATCGAATCGCGCCTCTGAATGCTTCACCCACGTACTAAAAATGCAAATATTTACGAACATACCCAAAACACATAACCTAACTTTATCTACGCCTATCTATACGAAAAGGACAATTATGATCATTTGAGTCGATAACATATCGTATTAACTACACAGTTTATCAATATTGATGAACGTGCGGTTGGGGGTTGTACGCAGTCTGAACGACCCTAGCCTCAGGACAGTTCACCAACGGGAGGTTGAAGGCCAGTGGCCAGATTCACGAAGCAGTTACGCAAGCACTTACGAACCTGTACATATTTTCTCAATCTTTGGAGGCTTTGTTTACCATTATTAAATAGCCAATGAGCTCCGAAGCACCAGGAGGCTGTTTATAACAATAACAACAGTTAACTGGCAAGTTTTCATGCTTGTAAACTGTTTAATAAATGTAATCAAAGCCGTCAAAGATCGAGGAAAGATGTACACGTTCGTAAGTACTCGTGTAACTGCTTCGTGAATCTGGCCGACGTCAAAGTACTTGTGTTTACTAGTTGTGTTTACTAGTTGTGTTTTTGCGGGGGTTGAGCTTTGCTCTTTCGGCCCGCCTCTCAACTGTTTACTAACTACTTTCCCCCCCCCCCCCCAGGGTGTGTGAGTGAGCGCATGTGTGGTCGCCTGCATCTGAAGGCTAGAGTAACCACTACGGGCTCACCATAGCCCGTGCTACTTGGAACTTTTTGTTCCAGGTGGCGAATCTTAAACAACGTTAGAGTAACTTAGGCTAATTCTTCCCACGTCGGGCGGTAGGTAAGAGGCCTTCAGATGTTCGTAGATTACTACTGGTTTTGAAGAAATATATGGATTATATAATGTGTGTTATAATTAAGCGTACCATCTCTAGCTGTGCTGGGTTGGGCCCTTTGGCTTGGAGAAGAGAATATATGGTACCCGGGGGGAGCATTGGCAGTCACGTAGAAACCCCGCGTTTACAACGTCTTCGCCTTTTCTTCCCTTCTCCCTATAACGACCTATCCGTCTTTGCCTCTCTAACCACCCTCCCATCTTCCCCTCCTTCAATGAACCCCACAACGTCCCCCCAAAATGGCCCCCCTTTCCCATCCCTCTTCCATCCAGCGATCCCCCACTATCCCATCCTCCATCCCCCCTCCATCCCTACGTATATGGGGGTTCGCCTATCCTCCCACAATAAAAAATACCCCCCCCCCCACCCCCACCACCACCAAAAAAACAAAAAACCATATTCTCAGAGCCCACCAACATGGATGTCAGTATTAAATTTCTGTTCTAAGTCATAATTCCCAGTTCCAATTTGTGGCCGAGACTTTGATTGCATTTAGAGGATAAGATCCAGTTGAGTAATCCTCTTAAGAGGGATCTCAATTTGTCAGCGGAGAGAGAGAGAGAGACAGAGGGAGTCTGGTGATCGCTGGCAGGATTTAAATCGTCTATTTAGAGGATAGGATTTTCATAACTTATTTAACTTAACGTTTCGTTTATT